CTTCCTAGACCAAACAACCTCCTTCTTGGGCGACCTGGGAGTATGATTCATCCTTATAGCTCTTAGCACACCGTCCCTCCCCACCCATCGAATAATGCAACTCATCCCTCAACTCCCTTGCCATTGCTCAGTGTTTAAAATATCGGCCGGGAAAATAAACTAAAGTAACCATATCAATGTCGGCACCCTATGTCAAATTGGGAAACAGGGACCTATTGCTGGAATCTTGCCTTCCCCCTCTGTCGACCTATTATGTCCTCGAAAAACACACAAGACGCCACCTCAAGCAGCTTAGGGTGAGCTCGAATGATCCAACTTCACTGATATTTGGTGATCCTGCCGTAATGGCTCGTGATATATAGTATGTGGAAGATGCACGAAGCTCCAAGCTGGAAGAGCCCTACTGTACCAGACACAGACAGATAGTCATCTTTGCGTTGTGCGGTTGTCTGGCTCAACTAAGATTAATGCAGGTCGATGCGGTGAATCGTTTATTTGTCGTATCAGCCAACGCCCAGACAGATTGCGATTCTGATACTGAAAAGGACAGGTTTTATCGAGATTTGTCACAAGTGCTTCGCTCAACAAGGTAGGAGGGACATGGTAAACCTGGCGGGTGACATGAACCACCACGTTGAACAACGAAGTCCAGAAAAGCACAATTAAGGGGACTTGGAGCTGGTGCTCAGAGTACGGATAATAGAGCGACCGCTTCAGTTGTGTGTTGTCCCTGATCACTACGAACTCCCAACCGAAGACTCTCCCACCGAGTTACTTGGAGGCCACCAGCCCCAAGAAAATCATGGACTCAGTTGGATGATGCAGTTATCTGTTGCCGAGATTCTCAATTGGGGATCACCGTTCCTTATGGGGGTGGACAAGTTGACTCCTATCATTGTGCGGGCCCAGTTATGACCTCACTTTTCCTCAGCATTACGCGCACCAAAGCAGAGCACTTCCATTAATCAACTTCGACAATTATCAGTGACTCAAGAGCAACAAGCTGACCTGGCTGGAAAACTACTGGAGGCGCACAGCCTCGCGGATGGCCAGGACTAATTGAATGGAAGCGATTTAAAGAAGCTATGCTCTCAGCTTTCAGAACTGTTTGTCCAAGCCACCCGACCCAACTAAATGAACACCGGATATCGTCGAGATAAGCAGCTCTTATTGCTTCCGGAATGGCTGCATCAACAGCTAGCGACTGTGATGGTGCATGCAGATCACTCAAACACAGAATAACGAAAAGCTTGAACGACAGGGAACGCAATGGGATTGCGGAGCCCCAAGAGATGAAGGCTTTCGCTGCAGGCAACAGCACCATCTCAGCTGATTCGATCAAGACGAGAGTCACCGAAATGATATGTCAAAAGGAGGAAATGGTGATTAGCTCACAAAGTTACCGTTTTCGGCGATGGCCTAAACACTTCGAAGAACAATTCAGCTGGTTGTCTTCAACACAACCTCTGGAGGAATTCAGCGACCCTGAATGGAACATCGGCGCCAACTCGCCACTAACAAGAGTTCAGCGCCAGATAGCATTTCTCCAGCGAGGAAAAGCACTTTACTCAGATGGTCTGCACGCCACACCTTTCAAAGTGGTGAGGTATAACAACTACGCTGCGGAAGATTTGGACAAAAAACTAGTGGAATGGAGCGCCTCAACCGTCAATCCAGTCTTCATGTGAAAACCACCGCGGCATCAGCTTGGTATACGGTGCATCTAAGATGTTCTCTGGCGTTATTCTGCACAGGTTGGCCGACTATCAGAACAGTCAGGCTCGTGAGAACCACGGTAGTTTTCGCCCTGACCAAGGATGTATCGACCACATCTTTCGATTGAGACACGTTTTTGAACGTCGCCACTCGTTCGAACGTCCCAAATGAGTCGTTCCCTGACCTGAAGACTGATTTTGACTCTGTCGATCGCGGTGTCCGGCGATCATGTCTCCCTTCCAAAGTTATCCATTATGAGGACAGTATGCGAACTCCTGTACGACTATACGGCAAGCTTTTGCCTGCGTTCACCACGTCTAGTGATGTGAGAGAAGGCTTCCCTCCCGCCTTTCCTCTTAAACTTTGTTATCGACGTACTGCTTGAAATTGCTCTGCTTACTTATGAAACCTCGGGGGTCGAAATGCTCCCGGGAGATTTGGTCACAGACATTGAGTATGGGAAGGATATTCTTCTCCTTGGTTAAGATCCTTCAAACATGCAAAACCATTTATCCACAAAGTGTTAAATGCTGCTACGAGACTGAGTAGGATCAGACCCAAACCTCATGACTGAAGACGAGCCAATCGATGTAGTGAAATTCAGTTACCTGGACAGTTGTACAGGTTCCGGTGGATTGGTTGGGAAGAGATTATTCCTCGAATCCGGAAGTAGCTTTTGCGAGTGTCCGACACCTATGGCTCCGACGTGACCTCAGTTTGTCCATCAAGGACAGTTCACACTGCAACATTGCGATCCATATCGCTTTATGGGTAAAAACAGCCTCTACATCCAGAGGACAACGAGAACTCAGTATTTGACTATTGTCGTCTCCGAAACATTCGTCGGGTCTGGTGGAAAATTCGGACTAGCAAGTCAAAGGTAGGTCGGGTGGTTTTAGGAGGAAACTCTTCCGCGATAGATGAGCAACTCACGCTTCACAGGCTACGCTGATTAGGACATCTACTACACATGCCAGAGGACCGCCTGCCTCACAGAGCTCTCATCATTCAGCCATGTAGTGAGCTGATTCAACTGAGAGGCGTATGCCCTAGTGTGAAAACACCAACCAGTGAACTGAACCATGTCGATAACTACCGCCTGCCTGGTTAGGGAGCCCGGAATTCAACCTGGTGTGAAAACACCAACCAGTGAACTGAATCATGTCGATAACTACCGCCTGCCTAGTTAGGGAGCCCGGAATTCAACTCACCAATGGTTAATTCTACTGGAAAAAGTAGCCAGATCGCCCAGTCAGTGACGCTTATGCATCAAAACTATCACCTTCAATGCGTGAATACCCACTCCAGGGGTGACGGAGGCTCGGGGGCTGCGCCTACCCAGTGGGTCCAATGTAGGACGGCAGTGGTGGGCTTTCAGCTAACTTACTAGTATGTTACGTCTACCAAAGCATTCTCTTTAAAACCATTAAGATGACCTAAAGTGTCGCGAGAATACAGGTCTGAATTCGGTGATGTTTCACTCTTAGTCCTGATTGGCTTTTACAGAATCACCATTAAAGTGCGTTTATGTCAGAAGAAAGCACAAACAAGGAAGTGAGTAGGTCAACATGACGAATACAGGTTCGTCGGACAGGTGACGTCCAGCCCCTCCAAAAGATGAAAATAGGATCGGGAATCAACTTCTGGAGCGCGCTCATCTTCGATAATGCATTCGTGGGGCAGTGTTCCTAAGTGAGCTAGCTGAACACCATTCTCTGGTTGAACTCCCGTACACCACTGGATGTCTACTGACCGGTCGTTAAAACTGAACTTATAAAGGAGTAAATTCTCGGGTCATAAGTTGGAAGCATCGAAGCATTCACACCTGCTAATAAACTATGGGTCGTGATAAAGGCACATGCACGGTAACATGCCGCTGTGTTGTCATGGCCTTCACATCGCCCCATCCAAACGCACCGGAACGTAGGAATGGAACGGGCGAATTTGCCAAGCAGGATACACCTGGCTTTCTACCTAACTGAGGGAAAAGTCTCAGAAATATGTAAAAATTTGTTTTCCAAAAAGAAGCACATAAACCACAAACCAACTTTAAATATAGATTCCAAATCAAAATGATTAGGTTCCACAGCCGCTGGACACGATATTGCAATCATGACAGCGACCACAGGGCAGAAGATAACAAAACGGTCTGTACAGTGGAAGGTTCCGTCATGTAAAGAAAATCCACACATCTGTGCCCAATGTTAAACAAGCCGTCTGACTTCGAAAAATCGCTTCAGATAAAACACCTGACCGATACTCATCGTAATGATCAAAATTCAACCCACCAATGGTTAATTCTACTGGAAAAAGTAGCCAGATCGCCCAGTCAGTGACGCTTATGCATCAAAACTATCACCTTCAATGCGTGAATACCCACTCCAGGGGTGACGGAGGCTCGGGGGCTGCGCCTACCCAGTGGGTCCAATGTAGGACGGCAGTGGTGGGCTTTCAGCTAACTTACTAGTATGTTACGTCTACCAAAGCATTCTCTTTAAAACCATTAAGATGACCTAAAGTGTCGCGAGAATACAGGTCTGAATTCGGTGATGTTTCACTCTTAGTCCTGATTGGCTTTTACAGAATCACCATTAAAGTGCGTTTATGTCAGAAGAAAGCACAAACAAGGAAGTGAGTAGGTCAACATGACGAATACAGGTTCGTCGGACAGGTGACGTCCAGCCCCTCCAAAAGATGAAAATAGGATCGGGAATCAACTTCTGGAGCGCGCTCATCTTCGATAATGCATTCGTGGGGCAGTGTTCCTAAGTGAGCTAGCTGAACACCATTCTCTGGTTGAACTCCCGTACACCACTGGATGTCTACTGACCGGTCGTTAAAACTGAACTTATAAAGGAGTAAATTCTCGGGTCATAAGTTGGAAGCATCGAAGCATTCACACCTGCTAATAAACTATGGGTCGTGATAAAGGCACATGCACGATAACATACCGCTGTGTTGTCATGGCCTTCACATCGCCCCATCCAAACGCACCGGAACGTAGGAATGGAACGGGCGAATTTGCCAAGCAGGATACACCTGGCTTTCTACCTAACTGAGGGAAAAGTCTCAGAAATATGTAAAAATTTGTTTTCCAGAAAGAAGCACATAAACCACAAACCAACTTTAAATATAGATTCCAAATCAAAATGATTAGGTTCCACAGCCGCTGGACACGATATTGCAATCATGACAGCGACCACAGGGCAGAAGATAACAAAACGGTCTGTACAGTGGAAGGTTCCGTCATGTAAAGAAAATCCACACATCTGTGCCCAATGTTAAACAAGCCGTCTGACTTCGAAAAATCGCTTCAGATAAAACACCTGACCGATACTCATCGTAATGATCAAAACAGCTTCAAAAGCCGCCCAAAGCACGACGCGGAAATTAGTATTTTGATTTACTAAAAATGTACTTAGATAATTATTGGAACTTACTGTTCCAGTGAATGTTCGTACGCAGCGCAACGTACTCCATCTCGAGCTTCACAGATTCTATTGAGTGTGATAGTTCGTTTACCATGCTGACTAGCTTTTTATGTGCGTCTATGAATGTAGGTCAAATAAACCGAAATGGCTACCGTCATCTTCATCTTCAGCTTGCAAGTGATCCTCTTCGACTTCCAATTCAAATAGGACAACTTTCGGTGTCAATGAGCTCATCTTGTTGCCGAAGCAATACTTGTAACTGCCGGCCTTCGAGGCGACAAACTTCGGACGCCCATTTGGTTTCTTAATTTCATTGTACATTAACTTCCCGTCCGGGCCGTACACCTAATGAAAACCCTGAAAGGACATGGACGGTGACAACTTACCGCTGCGTCAATATCAAGGAACCCTCCCTACCTCCTCATAACTTTTTGTTTTCAGGAATGCGTTCTATGAAACACTCTACGCCATTGGCGTCGATATCAACATAAAACCCCCAGCAAGGCCGCCAAGAAAACAACGAAAGCGCCAGAAACAGCCACATCGTCATTTTTCGAAACAGGCGCCGGTTACGGGACCTTCGCACGACCCTCAGTTCCGTGGGAGAATGAGTGGCAAAGATGACCGTCAGTATTCGCACAACCGTTTGAATTTTTGAAAGATACGACGTGTTCCTGATGGACAGAAAGAGACAGCCATTTGAGTTCAAAGTATCATTCCAAATTTTAGAGACCCATCTAGGTATCTCAGGTTCCCAGTGCTGCCAAGGAAATATTCCACCAGACTCACGGATTCACGGATTCACGGATTGATACACAGGATCGAGGCTATTGCCCAAGTTTCCGGGTCGGTTTTGTTCTTGTCGGTCAGTGGCTGTCGTTCACCTGAAGGGCACAAGTGAAAAAAGGGTTTAGCACTGCTCTTTATGTCCTCAGCGCGGGACAGTATGCTTGCCAGCGCGAGGATTCGCATAAATAAATGTCCAATAGTACTTTAAACTGGGTTCTGGAAGGGGCGTGGACAACCGTCGGAGAAAGTTCATTCCACGCAGCTACTACCCGAAATGAGAAAAAATTTGTCTAGTGAATGTGTGTGGTCTGAGCTTGAAAATTTTCTTACTATGTCCTCGCCGTGTGTTTGCTGGGTCAACGGTGAAAAACCTGTTTCCAAGCTTTGTTCAAACAGGGCATAAGTAAGAATTAGGTCCTCTCGGAGGCGACGGTACTCCAGGGGAAAGAGATCAAGCATCGCGAGACGCGTTTCGTAGTCCACGGATTTGAGGCGGGCAAACGTTCTCGTAGCGGCCCGCTGGACACGCTCAATGAGGGTGACGCCTTTCGTGCGTCCTGAGTAGACAACTTGGTTGGCCTACTCCAGGAGCGGTCTGACGTCGACCCCATAGAGTATTTGGAAGTCCGTGCGAGTAATACGGGAGGAGGTGCGTAAAATGGCGAATGCCCTTTGGGCCGATTTCTCATGGTGCAGTGAGATTTGATTGCCAGAGTGCCAGAGGTATGATTGCTTCAATGGACAATGAAATTTGGTGGGTTGCGAATTGGTGGGCCGCTTATCGGTTTCTCCGCGCGCATGATGAGTCAGAGAGTTAGGTGGCACTGTGTGAGAAAGATATATCACTACAGCCCAGGAATCGATGGACGCATATCACGAATTCGAGGATTGATTCGGGATTCCCAAGCGTTCGCCACAGCTACCTCTCCGGGGGCCATTCAAGCCATTCTTTGCGTCGGTGGATAACACTGCATTTCTGGCTCAATAAAATTAAAGATTTTATGCCTGGTCTCGGACGAATTATAAAGGCGGGCGCAGCCCTGCCGCCGCCTTCACACTTTGCGAACCGGAACTCCTTGGGTGGAGAATGGATTCCCCCAGAGATGCCTGAGTGCGCCCTGTGACCATGCTATTATTAGACGTCAAGGCATAGTCTTTGGCAGAACCCCACCTGGCATGCGCAATTTTTTTAAAATCTGTGTGTTTGTGTTTCCGCGTCTACACCAAAAACTACAGGGCCCCAATATACTTTACATTTGTTAAAATTTCCTAGAACCGATCTTTATTCGTAGTTTTTGGCGCCTTTTTACTTTGGAATCGCCTACTGCCCTGGCTCGTAGGGGAGGATGCGTTGACCGTACAATGCTCGTAGCTGCAAAACCTTTGCGAGTGGAATGAAACATCACGCCTGAATATTACATTTTGTTGCGTATGTACTCAAACCGAAAATCGTTATCCCAATAAACGTTCACATTTTTGCCGCTCACCAAATTTCACCGCCCAATGAAGCAATCATACCTCTGGCGGGAAAGTCTGGTGGGATACTTTCCCAGCATCGCTGAGACTCCGGGACGCCTAGATGGGGCTCTAAAGTTTGAAATCATACTCTGAACTCAGTTGCCTCTCCCTTTTAATCCATCAGGCACACGTGTCAGCTTTTGAAAATTCTATTCCATTGTGAGCATACTGAGCGCAGCGAGCTGCTGCCCAAACTTTAGATATATTCCTTGACAGTTTGTTCAACAAATGGCTCTGGGCGGTTACAGGAGGTATAACTGGGTGGTTCTTGTGTACGTGGCTAAGAAGGAGCAACGAAACGTGACGCTACATTGCGGATATAGCGGGAGACCCCCAAAACCAAGTGAGAGACGATGAATCACATGAAGGTATGTTGCTGCTGCGAAGAGGTGCTATCCATCAGGTTGCGTTTGAGAAAGCACGAAAAACATCATCCTGTCAGCGTTCTTGTTCGCGAATGCAGGGTGCTTGATTTTTTGCGATCGACTGTCTATAAACAAAGGGCCAGTCGGAGAGGAGCTGGATTATTTCAGCGCCTTGCTGTAGTACGGAACGCTGCGCCGGACGTGCGGCAGCCAGGAAGCACTTAGCACACAGCATTAGTATAACTAAATCAGGAGGCGCAAACCTGCTCCGCCGAATAAGCCTTGTGTGACTTATATTAATTGTGGCAAGGAAACGGACATCGGCCCGTGTTGGTGTCGCATATGCTTCGCTGGAAAGCAAAATACTATGTCATTCCCACTGTCTTAGATGTTGATGGGACACATGCGGTTAACCGATTTCGGTACGTCCCCCAAAAGCGCTTCAACCCTATTACGGGGGAACAGACTCTCGAACATCCTGATCATACATCACGCAGGAACCGCAAGTTCGATCATGGGCGTCCTTATGGAAGCTAACCGGTCCGCCCCTAAGCGCAAACCCTATCTAATGCAATGAGATGCTAAATGCATCAAATATAAACTTTCATAGTGAATAAAATGGTGGCCGGATATGTGTTTGACTCCGATGTTGTGCTGTGCTGTTTCGTGCCTTATAACACCCGTGCGTGTTAGTTACGGACACTAGGTTAACAATCGACACATTCCACACTGCAATGTGAGTTCTATTTTTATTATTGTGGTATTAGACGGAGGACACCGTTATTTGTCTCTTAATACATGGTACTGTGGCGGTGTACAACGCACAGGTGACCGTCCTCATACAACTCCGCGTGTGGTAGTGCTACTAGCAACCAACGAGAGAATAAACCACTCTGGAAATATAAAGAATGAACATCAGAAGACGTCCAGATACGCTGGGTGGCATGCGTGTGCATACGATGTACATGTCGTTTCGCCGTGCCCCAAAGATATCCCGGCGACTCTACTGAATCGGGACCCCATCCGCACGGATTGCCCTCTCCTGAACCACTTTCGTACTTCTCAAATTGCGCATCTTCAACGCTCTTGAGGCCTCTGGGTTGATGGAAACCTCGCGTGGGCGCCGACTTATTTCGCCCAACAGTGTATTGCGACCCAACATGTCGTCGCATAAACTAGATTCCGCACGGGCCAACTAGCGTCATCCCCAGCGGATCTCACTGATCAAGTTATGATCAAAGATTCCCTGGTACATGGTGACCAGTGTGTCGTTTAGCCATTGCGTCCACCTTGTGAACCTCTCCACAACCCCCTTACCAGGTGAATTTTCATTTTCAATGCATGCATGTTCCATTGCTTGTTCAAATTAAGTGATCAGTTTTACTGGACTGGCCATCATGGACTGAATTATTCACATAACAACTAGAGTGCTCGTTAATTCAGCGGCCTTAGTTGTGGCTGTTTCGTACCTTGCGAGCTTGTATATCTGGCAGTGTGTACAATGGATGAAAGCTTCGGGTGTTGGTTGGGTATACACTGCAGGAAGGGCCACTCCTTTGCGTTGCACTGTGGTAAGTTCATATACCTATCACACACAACATCACGGTTGCTTCAACCAATATCGTGGTTCCAAAGCCTGCGTTTAATTGAGGAAATTCATAAAAGTGAAACTTTGTTGTCTATCCTTAGCCACCTGCTTGACTTGTTCCGGTTCTCATTCATCTGGAGATGCTATGGAATATAGGCAAAGGAAAGCTGTCAATCCGTCTGCTAAAATGCATGCTACCTAAATGTACTTTGTGGCGGACGAACCTGCAACTGTCTGTCTTATATGGGATTGTACCACACCAAGTCTACTTCCTCAGCCAGAAATAATACACTCTCCGACCTTCTGTTCCTGGGCGTGATCAAATACAAATAGGAATACAAATACCCCGCTATTCCCTCAATATTAGTATTCACAGCTGGCGCCTATACACTTTTTTCACCATACTCCACCTGTTGCTTGGAGCCGACCGCAGTGGCTCGGTGACTGGTAACCCACACAGTTTTTCAATTTACCTTCCAAACTGAGGTGCCGCTCAGCTCACGTGGCAACTTTCGGTTGAAATAATCTTTGTCCGTCGTCCCGGACGTTTTACTCCAGTCATCCTGTGTGTCTGAATTTTCGTATCACACCACCTGCCACTCTGCACAGCGGTATTCTTCTGGTGGGACGATAACAGAGCTAGAAATGACGGCTGGCCCTACCAACTCGCATTGTGACTGCCACTGTCAACTAGGCCAACGGTTAGCCTACTTGCTCGTTACCACATAGGCTGACTCCCCACCCCTCCAAAATCTGCTCAAACACTCCGTTGCCCTGGGCTCTTGTCTGCCGGTCGACTGATGCTCAGTGTTAAACATGAGGTGCCTTGTTTACCACCAGTGCCAGCCTCTTGCATGGCTGATCGAGTGACCAACATATACACCAAGAAGCACAGTCGTACCGGTTTTCCATGTGCCTCCTGCAGTATATTAGCATTATATTGACAAGTTTAGCCAGTCCCTCATTGCTAGATACTCCACACAATCTTAATTTTATTCGGGGTCATTTAACGACCTGCCATCATTCTTATGACTGTAACAAACCCTAGTTTTTCCATAATT